GTCCTCGCAGGTCAGGCTGCAGTCGGGGCCGAACGTGTGCTCCAGGCAGACTGCAACGAGAGGCACTGCGGGTGAAAAGCCCTCCCCATCGCTGCCGCAGCGTCGCGGAGAGTCTGGGCAGAGCAACCCCGCCGTGGGCAGGCTGCTGCCAAGCTAAATGCGTCTGTGTTGTGCCACAGGTTCTGCGTACGTAGACAAGGCACTCGACAAGCCTTGTGGGTATGCTCACCAAATACAGACAAACTCAGCAGGCATGATTAATTCTGAAGACTTCCAAGCAAAGTATGTCATTTACCAGCGCTGCAGAATGCCCACCAAATTTCTCTGAAAGTGTGTGCTCTCCTCTTGCTTCCATCTCTTCCTCCTCTTCCTCATAGTCATCATTAAAGAGCTGGGTAAATTCATCTCGCAGGATTGCAACGTGAGGGATAGGGCGGATAACGGGGTGCCGAGCATCCAGAGCTTCCACAGGGTCCTCTATAGCTAGGGAAGCAGTCATGGAGATGACAATGTCACAGTGGGAACAGAGGCATGATCCCTAAGAGGTGAACAGTGGGACAGAACCTCTGTAATAGGAAAGGGAAACCAGAACTCTGCACAGGGTTGGGGCAGTTCGCACCACTGCTCTCTCTTGGTATTGACACCTCTAAAATACTTGCAAACTGTTGGCTTGTTTGTTTTGGCTAGAAAGGGCATGGGCCAGCTCAGTGACTTCAACATCTACAGGAGAAGCTTTGATCTTGACCTTGGCACGGAGCTCTGGCTTCTCAAGCAGCTGAGCTCGTGCTCACACCACCACCTTTGCTCTGAGCCACGCAGCTTCTTTGAGCTTTCAGATAAGTTAATTATTTTCTGGAAAATTGAACAAGCCTGCCCATCTAACAAAATCAAGCGATGCATTTCAGCTTGGTTCTCCTTTTGGGAAGAGCATTTGTCAGCTACAGCTACAGGTTTCCTTCCCTGCAGGGCTCAAGGCAGGCAATCTAGCTCAGCCCAGCACACCTGGAGCCAGGGCAGGGGCTGCAGAGCCTATAAAAGCCACGGGGCCGGAGGAGGCTCAGGCATTTTGCTGGGGTGGGGGGGTATGAAGTGCTGCTCTTTGGGGTCCAGACCTCAGAGAGCCTTTCCAGGGACCTGGGCAATGCTGCTGGGGGTCACTTGGTGAAGAGTGGGGTGCTGGCTGCCCTACTAAGTGAGTAAGTGGTGTAACAGTGTGTTTAGTGGGAGTATAAAGATGCTACTGCTTAAAAACAATTCCTTTGTTTCTTATAAGGAAAAACTGTAGAGGCTGGTGACTGTGGAAAGGGTTCTGGTTCGTTGGTTCATGTGGAGTCATCACTGCAGGCGTAGCTGTGCCCAAACCCCCTGTGCTGCTCTGGAAAGTGCTGTGTGACACGGCTGAAATGGGCCTGGCCCTGTCAGGGGAAAGCTTTCCACTGGTGGTGTGAGTCAGTGCCACTGCCAACAGTAGTAAGTGCTGGGGAAAAGCTGGGCAAGGCGGTGTGCAGGGCAACCGGGCTCTGCCGGGAGCGGGCAAGGGGCCGGCAGCGCGCAGGCGTTGCACTTACAGACGCAGCTCCTTCGGTCTTCATCCAGCTTGTGTCCGCTCTCACAGCCACACTGGAAGGACCCTAGCAGGTTCTGGCATGTGTGTTCACACCCACCGTTATTTGAAGAGCACTCGTCCACATCTGAAAAACACGGGGTGATCCAGGGTCATGGGAGCAGGTCCTCGAGAGGACGGGGGCCCACATGTGCCTCCGACCGCAGATCAGCAGGAGGCTGATGGCAGCCTCATGGTGTGAAGCCACCCACCTCTGCAGATTGAGTGAGACTACCTAAGTGATTCGGGCAGCCCTGGGTTTCAAAACACCAAGTGCTGGGTTTCAGTTCACAACTCTCACTAATTGAGTAGAAACAGGTGGGGAAACTTGGGGTTGCACCTGTGAAGCGTAATTGGAGAGCTTCAGTAGCGAGAACAAGTCATTAGGAGGGAAAAAGCCCCAAATTCTTTACTGTAAGAAGGTGATTCACCAGAGAGCCAACAGGAAAACTGGTATCAGCTGGGAGAAACTGGAAGAAATGCCTGGCTGTTCATCATCAGGTAGGACAATTGCTTTTTCTCTTTATTAAAAGCTTGTCTTAGTCACTGTCTTAGCTATATTTTATACAGACACTTTTATTTGTCTATATCTCTTGGGTGAAAACGATGGGCAAAGTTGGCCTCTGGAGTTGACCATAAAATTATTTCTGTGAATTAATGGAGTCGGACCTGGACCAACTTCACTTTGAAATTTCCTGATTTGAACTCAGTGTGTTCAAAAGCCCCGTTGTTCCTCTGCAGTGGTGCCGGACTAGTGTATGGATTAGAGCAGCTGAGCTGCCTCAAGAGTCAGCAAACCGAGGAGGCTGACAATGCACAGAAAGCCAGAATTGGGGGGAACCCGTTGTCTGCGTGTCCCCGGCCGCGCCGCGCGGCTGAGGACCGCGGTGCTGCTGGGTTACTTGCAGGAGTCCAGCCAGGTTCTGCTTACCGTCGCAGCCGCAGCCATCCGCGCTGAGCCTGTAGCCAGCATAGCAGGCACACTCGTAGCCTCCGGGGTAATTGAGGCAGTCTTGCTGACAGCAGTGAGAGCCGTTGTCACATTCATTGATATCTGAATGAGAAACAAAGGGCACTGGGTGCTGACACACCCCTGGCCATGCAGCGGTGACAGTACTTGCTAAGGTTGCTCTGTGACGGGTCCTGGTGAGCTTTTACTGATCTGGCTGCCGAATGCTGAGCTAGTATTCTTGTTCTCTTGAAATGAGTGAGCTTTATGTTACGAGCTCATCCTCCCCAGTGTCCCTGCCAGGGAGGAATCCGGAATCCTAGAGGCCTGTGGGAAGCTAACCGTGATCTTCAGTTTGAGACTGTTCTTAAATGTTTTGTGTGATTCCAGCTGTAACACTGACCTCTGTTTGCTGATTTGCACTGTTACAAATACTGATGTTGAGTACAGCAATTGTTGAGAACCTCGTGGTCTCAGCCCGTCTCAGAGTGAGCTCTCTGAAGGATGGATCTAGATAGCCTGGAGAAAGCAGAGCTCCTGCAGCTTTAAATGTGAAGCCCCTTGTGTTGATGGGACTCCATTTGTCCACTGTGAAGTGGAATTATTGCTGTGCCCATGTAGTAGTAGGTTTGTGAAGCATCCACCTACCACCAGAGCAGGCTGGACCAAGGAGGTATCTGCTAGGAAAGCAAATAGCACTGCTGGGCTACAGAAAGTTTGTAGTTTGCAAAGGAAAAATGTTCTTTCAGAGTAGACTTGAGTTCAGGTCCTGGCTTTTTTGTTCCCATGTTGTGCTGCTGTATGGACACAGCTCCGACTGCTTCCTCAGAGCTGTGGAGGAAAGCAAAGGTCCTGGGGACTTTGGGTTCCTCTCCTCTGGCAGAGGAGTCACCCCCTCTGCCCAAGCGACTGTGGGTGCCCTGGCAGCCTGATAAGCAGTGTACCTGTTCTAGCAGATGTCCTGGGCAGACATCCTCCTTCAAAACTGCAGGAAGAAGGTGATACTGAACAGAGAAGCAGCAAATTCAAGAAATTATTTCCTCAGTAATGTGAACTGCAACTGTACACTGCATGGAAATATGTAAGTGCTGTTTTGCATCACTAAACACTGTTACTCTTTGCTAGCAACCTCCTGTTTGCTGGTTTTATAGGCAGAGAAGTCTCTAGGTGTGAGTGCCTCACTGCGCTGCCTGAGGCATGGAGCTGCACCAGGGCTTCCTGCAGCTCCGGGCTGCCGGGAGGGTGGGAACACCCAGCCAGCCTTGCTGGGCAAGTCTGAGCCCCGGCCCCATCAGCAGCAGAGGGGCAAACCGCAGCCCGCCACGGGTGCAGGAAATGTCTGGCTACCAGAGAGCTCTGCAGGGCGTTCTGACTAGGTTATTTGCTGCAAGGGACTCAGAGCAATGGGAGATACACTACACGTCTCAACTTCATAGCATTTACAGAGCTCAAGGTGCGTTTCACCCTTCCCTCTCCGTTAATACATCCTTTATAGAACCGGATAGGGCTGAACTACCCTTGGCTTGCAGCTAGTGACCCCTCCACTCCTGCACTCAGCTGCACTGCTGCTTCCTTTGAGGTAACAGGCAAGGTGTCCATCTCAAGCATCATCCCTTCTAGATGCAGGCTTTTAAGCACCTGAGATGTGAGTCTCTGTATCTGCCAAGGTCACCTTAGACCAGTTTCAGCAGGGAAAAACTAACTAGTTCTGAGGTCAGTATTCACTGTCCAAGTAGGTTTTGAGCAGAGGTTTAAGGATACCTTCAGTAGAGGAACATCTCATCCCCTACTTTGCATCTGTTTCTAGCCTCGTTAACCTATTTGCAGTTCATAAACACACAGTAGCTAACCTATGGAGATCCTCATTGCTACTTGAGCTGGAAAACAAGCTAGGTACCCCTTGCCTTACCAGTGCACGTCTTCTGGTCCTCTTCAAGCCGATAGCCAAAGTTACAGGTGCAGGCTGGGCCAGAGCTGGTGTGGTGGCACGTGTGGGAACAGCCCCCGTTGTTGGCTTCACAGCTGTTCACGATCTCCATTTCTATCCCTGGAAAAGGCACAGGGGTTAGGAGGGCCCACGCCTCCCCTCGGCGCTGCGCTCGGGCAGGCACCCACACAGCAGCTGCCAGCCGAGCTCCTCGCGCGTGCGTGTTCGTGTGCACAGCTCTGCCGAGTGATCTGCAGCGGGGAAAGGAGGAAAAGAGCTTTGCACAGAGGCCACTGCTGGGCTGGGAAGGGAGGTTTGGACATAAACCGATGGATCCCAGGCAACGCCCCACGCAGCCTCTTAGGGACGGAGCTGCGGAGCAGGCTCTGGACAACCTCGGAGATGAACCAGACTGCAGGCAAAACTGCTCCCACTCCTGACAAGCTGCAGTATGTGCTGCCGACCAAAAGCTGGCTCAGTCTTCGTACGTACAGAGCTGTTCTAATGCCAGCTAGAAGTGGGAGCAGCAGAGTACAGCTAATTACTGAAACATCCAGATGCCTACAGCTAGAAATGCTAGTTACCGACATGTCAAAAATAGTAGGCTCAAACATCAATAGCAGCCATATATCTTCTTAGCTGGGCAAAGTTTACGTAAACTTCAGTCTGGTTAATTAAGCTTTTTTTTAAACTGAAAGGAACTTGTACCATGGAGCTTTGACTCAGTCCTGTACCTCAGGAAAACAGTTTCTGCCTACAAGAATATTTTTGAGATTTTAGTGAGTTCAGACCCAAGGAGGATGAAAGCAGGGGCACCTGACGCTCCCCACTGGATCTGTGCACGTCGTAAAAGCTGTGCCATGGTGGAAGACCATCTTCCCTATTTCACAGCATGAATATAGTCCCTCTGTCCTTCCTTTTCTTATTAATGCAAGATCAGCCAGGGTTTTCCATGGAAGAAACTTGCTAAAAGGGGCAGGGGAAAACATTGTCCATACAGGAAGGCTACTAATTCTGTAGTTGGCACCAAATTAGAGGTATTGTCAATGGTTATGGCAATGAGTCACAGCAACTGGAGGAGCCATGTCAGAACACGAGTGGAGCTTGTGCTTCCACTGTCCCTGCTGCCAACAGCCACCCTCCAGGGCTGGCATCTCTCACTGGGGGCTTACCCACAAAACCAAGACTTGAGCAGCAACAAACCCAAGCTTCTGATCACTGGTGAGCCAGTTAGCCGAAGCCACAAAGGGTAATCTTCCCTGCCGCACAGTCACAGAGGGAGGTGAGGAGGTAGCTAAGATTTACTGGGCGTAGACCTGGCTTGCTAACCCAACCCTCTGCAAGCTTGGCTGGCTATCGTGCCTCTTCACCCCAACAGCTGGAGGTAAACGCGCAGCTGCACATGAAACTGAACTATGGGATATTTTTTTACAGGATATGGAGTGTGAGAAAAACCACGTTCCTAGGAAAAAAGGTGTCTACATGCTTAGGCTCTTAAATAGCAGGTAATCAGTCTGGTTCCTCACATTGCTCTGTTTGATGCCTTTCAAGACCCATTGATGGCCTGCAAAGCCTTACCCTCATAACCTTGGCAGGCTCCCAGTAACACCAGCTGCCAGCACTGGGACTGACACTGTGGCTTTCATCTGCGAGGGGGCTGCTAGTGCTAAACGCTGACAGCTCTGCCTCGGACTGTCCCTGCTGCTGTGTATCAGCTGGACAAAGAGGTGCGGACAATCTGGCTCATTCTTGCATAATAGCGTTTATTCCTTTTCTTGATGGGAGCAGATGTGATCGCTTCGCTAGCTCAATTCCTTCAGTTACACATCTGCAGCTGACTGAACTCATCCCATGAAATCCCCAAGAGCAGAACTCGGCCTCTTTGGAGCCAAATAGCTCCAAATCAATAGCCTAAACCAGAAAAAGTAGCTTCGTGGTAAGTTTAAAGACCAGACAAAGTGTTTTTATCTTGGTGGGAGAGTAAACAGCCCCAGACCTGCTTGTGAAATTCTTTAAAAAAAGATTGCTCTAACTTGGCCCCGCCAGCTCTCAGAGGACACTGCACAAACACTTGCCTGCAGAAGCAAACTCCCCATCTGGGAGTGGGGTCTGTGAGCAGTGCTCACGGCAGCATTGCCGTGCTCATTGCCGTGCTCATTGCTGTACTCACGGCAGCATTGCCGTGCTCATTGCCGTACTCATTGCCGTACTCACGGTAGCATTGCCGTGCTCATTGCCGTGCTCATTGTTGTACTCACGGCAGCATTGCCGTGCTCATTGTTGTACTCACGGTAGCATTGCCGTGCTCATTGCCGTGCTCATTGCTGTACTCACGGCAGCATTGCCGTGCTCATTGCCGTACTCATTGCCGTACTCACGGTAGCATTGCCGTACTATTGCCGTACTCATTGCCATACTCACGGTAGCATTGCCGTGCTCATTGCCGTACTCATTGCCATACTCACGGTAGCATTGCCGTACTCACGGTAGCATTGCCGGCCGTCTGCCCCCAGCTCATAGCCCGGGTTACAGGTGCACTTAAAGGAGCCGCGCGTGTTGAGACACTGGTGTGCACACATGGCCAGTCCCGTCAGGCATTCGTTCACGTCTGCAAGAGATGAGCAATCGATAAGCAAAGCAGGTTGAGCCATACACATTCATTCAAAGGGACAGTTGTTACTATCTTCAAGTTTTTCACTGGTTTCTTGCACCCTGAAGTCTTCACTGATGTCCAGACCAACAAAGAAACAGAGTTAAGGGTTCAGAATTACTGCACAGCTTCCCATGAAGCTGGATCCCATGAAACTCGAGTGTTGTTCCGGACAACGTGAGCAGGGCTCTTGGGCAGAC